ACACAACTGTTACGCTATATATGGGAACAAATGCAGTGATTATCAACTCTTATAACTAAAAGTCAAATATAAAGTTATTAAATATGAAATATTTAATTTAAAATGTCATTCATTGGAACCATTACTTCTCTATTGTCTTTGTCTGGCATTGAATCCATTCCTCCAGTTCTTAGATGAGTTCATGTCTGAAAACCATCCAATAATTATCACAACGAATTGATAATAAAATTTATTGATTGATAAAAACAGAATTCAAACTAATTATTGAAAAAACAGAAAATAATTATAATTAAAAAGTAAATGAATTACAAATGGTATTAAAAATAGCCAATCAGTGGACATATAAAGGCAAATATCATGACATGTGTTAATCGAGATCATATGTAGCGTTCATCATGATTAATTATCACAAATTGATAAAAAACAGAATTCAATTATAAATAAATTGTTTTAAAACATGCAATGAGTGGACGTATGAACCCAAATAGTATGACATCTATTGTGAGCAGACAATTAAAACCATAATAAGAAGTGGAGGAATATGAACACACCATCAACCAGTAGATGACAATTTTCGATGCATTCTATCATGATTTCTGAACGCCTTATAACTCTTGGTTTTAAACACACAATTATCGATCGGGCACTTAATCCACGGCAGTCGACCGTAATGCTCGTTGAGCTTATGTTTGGACAATTGGATGAAATTTGGAAACACATTATTCTTCGAACAGAACTGACATCTGAGTCGATGGCTAAGCATATGCTCCTCTAAGTCGCGCCGGCATTCAGTCTTATAATCGCAATCCGAATGATAGCACGTCTTGAGCCACGAGTTTTGGCCGCCTCTCTGACCACTTCCCCGTAGCCGTAGTTGCAGTTCAACTTTGGTTGTAATTGATTCCATAGCGACGCTTCTGGCGTGACATTCATCCCCCGATTGTGTGACCACTTCTGCCGACGATATACTGGCCGTAGAATCGGACTGACTATCGACGTAAGCGCTGGACTCGCTCTCTAATACCACATTCTCTGCCACTTTGTCTTCGGATTCGTTGATCACTGAGTTGTCAACTCTCTTAGTGTACGATAAGTTGCGGTAATGATGTAATCGGAGGTAATGTTCGCTCAAACTGTTTGAACTGCTAAACGGTTGACTCGAACACCAGAGGTCATAGCGGGACCTATGGATCAGCTTATGTTGTTTAAAGTCTAGATAGCCATCAGTCTTATAGCCACAGTCAGGTTCATAGCATTCGTACAACCATTGGTCCGCTGTCTGACCACTACCTGAGGGGTCGGATCTCCTTGTCTCCATAGCAACGCTTTTTCTATGATATTCATCACCCGATTGTGTGACCACTGCTGTGGCCGACGATATACTTGTGGTAAGATTGGGCCAACAGTTGACAGAATTGTTGGACTCACTCTTCACTCTGTCTTCGTATTCATTAATTGAATTATCAGTTATTTTGGTATCTGTTTTGCATTTGACGTCAGACTTGATGACCACTTTTGGTGCTGAAGAAGTTTTGGTGTCCAAAATGGTGTCAACAGATGCCAAGGAATCTATTGATGCCATACAATCACTATTAGCTGCTGATTGACTATCAATTGGATCCCAATTGTATATCTTGTCTATATCTTCAATAAAATCATTCAATTGATTCCCTGATATGCCGTCGGTCTTAACAATTGTCTGAACATCTGATCGCCCACTCATTGTCACGTCATATGGTTTCTCGACAGTTATGCTAAATATGGGAACAAATGCAGTGATTATCAACTTTTATAACCAGATATCAAATATCGTATTCTTACCGCTCATTCACAACACTTTTACTCTTTTTATGGCCAGAAGTACTGTCGGCTGAAGAGTTGAGCCGTTTTTTGTCCGTGCATTTGATCCGCATTTCAATGCGATCTCTGTCTCGAAGGACACCAGCGATGGATGAATGGCCGCGAAGTAAGCCATCGGACAGATAGAGCTGCACGTCATCCATGTCTTTGACGATACAATTGTCTGACAGTATATATTGTTTGAGACCATCGATGGTTTTCAGTGACGGCGATATTGAGAGCCAATAGTCGTCTACTTCTGGACATAACATCTTTATAGACACCAATAGAGACATTGGATTCGATGCCATTCTTCCAAAGAGGATGTAATCACTTATGATATGATTTGTGGTCTAAATTGTAATCAAAATTAAGAAGCAATTGATTCACTAATTTTCAAACCAAAAGTCTCAACAAATGACACGAGTTTTGGGTTTAGAAACAATAGCCATAAATAACACAATAGAACGTTATTAATGAACTAAACATACATTTAATTAAATCAATCATTAGTACAAAATAATTATAATAAATGAATCATGATATATGGATTAAATAATTATTAATTAGTTATTACTAATAACTTATTACTGATTATATTAGACTAAATTATAAACTAAATTATAAACTACTAAATAATTATAATAATCAATTGTGAGCCACATCTTTAATCTTAAACAAACAGATATTCATCGGGCAATCAGACCATTGAGTGGCCGCCGAGTGGTCAGCACGCGATCGGATGTGATGCGCTGATAGACGAGCCTTACCGCCACATAACTGCCATTTGAGATAACGGCCGCACTCGTGGTTTCGCAGATCAGTCACGTTAAAGGACTCGTAATTACATCCGGGTCTTCGGCACCGAATCCCACGCAACTTACGGCCACCACTTCGGCGACCACTTCCCGGCGCTCGCCTTAGATGTCCAGTGGCTTTGGGTCTCATTGTTTTGGTGGCAACGCTTGTGCTGACCACCGCTGCCGACGACATACTGGCCGTAGTATCGGTTATCACCCGATCTTTGGACACATTCATTGATTTGTCGACCGTTTTTGCCTCTGGTTTTCGTTTGGCCTCCGATTTAGTTATCACTTTTGGCGCTAAAGAAGTTTTTATGTTAGAAATGGTGGCAACAGATATGTCGAGGAATGTATTGATTAATTACCATCACTATTGGCTTGTGATTCACTCACAATTGGATCCCAATTGAAAATCGTTGCCCATTTGTTTCCACTTTCTGGCAAAGCATTCAATTGATTTCCGATCTTAACGACGGTCTGAACACCCGATCGGACACTCATTGACTCGTCATCCGAGTCCTCGATAGTGACGCTTAATATGGGAACAAATGCAGTGATTGTCAACTTTTATAATCATAAGTCAAATACAATATTCTCACCACTCATTCACAACACTTTTACACTTATTATAGCCAGAAGTGCTGACCACTGAAGAGTTGACCACTTTTGGTGGCGAAGAGATCTCCAAATGATTGGCCACAGATGTGAAGGAAACTATCGATGGCTTGTCGTTGCCATTCAATTGATTCCCGGATATGCTTTCTGTCTTAACAATTGTCTGAACACCCGATGTGTCAGCCATTGTCTCGTCATCTGAATCCTCGACAGTAATGCTAAATATGGCAACAAATGCAGTGATAATCATGTCTTGTAATCCAAATACTAACCACTCAAGTGCTGGCTCTGCCTTCAATTTGTGACCACCAGTAGAGTCGGGCAAAGAGTTGATCCGCCGTTTGGCTCGCAATTCAATGCGATCCCTGTTTATGAGGACATCACCGATGGATGAATGGCCGCGAAGTAAGCCATCGGACAGATAGAGCTCCACGTCATCCATGTCTTTGTCGATGCAATCATTGGACAGTATCTGTCGTTTAAGACAATCGATTGTCTTCAGTGTCGGCGGTAATGGCTGCCAATAGTCCTCTACTTCTGAGCGCAATGTCTTCACTGACACCAATACAGTCATGGGATTCGATGCCATTCTTCTGGTGTGGATGTGATATATTGTGATATAAATTGTGTTCAAATTGTAATCAAAACTAATTTAATAAACAATTTGTTATCAAAACAAAAGTCACAACAAATAACACGTGTTTTGTGTCACAAATCATACCATAAATAACGTATCGAAATGTTATTAATGAACAAAACATTCATTTAATTAAATCAATAAATTATAAGACAATTACAATCATTTGAATCACATTTTAAACCACAATAAGATGTGGAGGAATTGCACCACACCATCAACTGATTGCACACAACACTTGTGCTATATATGGGAACAAATGCAGTGATTATCAACTTTTATAACTAAATTATTAGTTATTAAATATATAATGTTTAATAATTTAAAATGCATTCATTGGAACCATTACTTCTCTATTGCCATTGTCTGGCATTGAATCCATTCCTCCAGTTCTAATATAAGTTCATGTCTGAAAATCAATCCAATAATTATCACAAGAAATTGATAATAAAACCCATTTATTGATAAAAACAAATTCAAATTAATTATTGAAAAATATATAAAAATACAAAAAATAATTATAATTAAAAAGTAAATGAATTACAAATGGTATTAAAAATAGCCAATCAGTGGACATAAAGGTAAATATCATGACATGTGTTAATCGAGATCAGTATTACTCGCGTTCATACGGACGGCCCTGTATTATGGGCGCCGGGAGTGTCCGCCCTAATGGTTAATTAAACGCCGGTGACTGAGCAAAGCCTTCACCTTCCGAAAACTCTTCCTACAGCCCGGCGCCGGGCAGCTAAAGTACCCACCATTTAATGGAGGGCACTCATTACCGACCCGGTAGTCCTGCGCCGGTGCAGTTGCCATCACCGCCACCACTGATGTTGTTAGTGGCCGTCGCTGGACCTCTTGATTCCCAGATATGCGTTCGGTCTTAACAATAGTCTGAACACCCGATGTGTCACCCATTGTCTCGTCATCTGAATCCTCGACAGTAATGCTTAATATGGAAACAAATGCAGTAATTATCATGTCTTGCAATCCAAGTACTAACCACTCAAGCGCTGGCTCTGCCTTCATTTGGTGACCAACAGTAGTGTTGGGCAAAGAGCTGATCCGCCGTTTGGCACGCAATTCAATGCAATCCCTGTTTATGAGGACATCACCGATGGATGAGTGGCCGCGAAGTAAGCCATCGCACAGATAGAGCTGCACGTCATCCATGTCTTTGTCGATGCAATCATTGGACAGTATTTGTCGTTTAAGACAATCGATTGTCTTCAGTGTCGGCGGTAATGGAAACCAATAGTCCTCTACTTCTGAGCGCAATGTCTTCACTGACACCAATACAGTCATGGGATTCGATGCCATTCTTCTGGTGTGGATGTGATATATTGTGATATAAATTGTGTTCAAATTGTAATCAAAATAATAAACAATTTGTTATCAAAACAAAAGTCACAACAAATAACACGTGTTTTGTGTCACAAATCATACCATAAATAACGTATCGAAATGTTATTAATGAACAAAACATTCATTTAATTAAATCAATAATTTATAAGACAATTAAATTAATTATAATTTCAATTACAATCTTAACCACAATAAGAAGTGGAGGAATAATCAATATAAGTATAATTGGCATTCATTTGTAGCATTTTAAACATGTAATCAAATCAATAAATAATTAACAATCAATTGAATGGTAACTAAAACCGTGACCACAATAAGAAGTGGAGGAATAGATTTAAGCCAATAGTGTTGCGGCGATTGATAACCATTTCGATGACATTTTATCACATGATTATCAAAACCGGAACCGTCTTTAGTGGCAAACCGACAGCCATTGTGCGGACAAGTAATCCACGGAATGGTTGGGAAGTCATTGGGATGTGATCTGAGGTGATGTTTGTTCAATCGGTGTATACTCTTAAACGTGTAGAAACACAGTTGACAGCGCGCCCTATGGATCAACTTATGGTGATTAAAGTCTTGTTTGGATGCAGTCCTATAGCCACAGCCCGGTTCAGGGCATACGCGCAGCCATTGGTCCGACTGGTGGTCACTTCCCGGAGGTGATGGTTGCGGTTCCACTTGTGGTGCCATTGTTTTCGCCAATTTCATAATATTTAAGCTAAATATGGGAACAAATGCAGTGATTATCATGTCTTACGATCCAAATACTGACCACTCAATCGACGAACTTCTAGTCCTATTAATTCTGGCCATCGAAGAGCTGATCCGATATTTGACTCGTACTTCAATGGTATCTCTATCGCAGAGAATACCACGAATGGATAGATGGCCACGAAGTAAGCTGCTAGAGGTACCGACGAGATAGAGCTGCACGTCATCCATGTCTTTGTCGATGCAATTGTCTGTCAGTATATGTCGTTTGAGACCA